GCCTTCCAGGATGGGGACCGCGTGATCCTCACTGCGCCTGGTTGGAGACACTACAAGATATGGCTGCCAACCGATGTCAGTGGCGTTCTTGTTGTCAGTTTCTGTCCAGATTACCTGAGTGAATGTCTGGAGGTGTAGGCACCTCGGAATGATCGTGTTAAGCTAGCACTAAGTCCCCCCCCATCCACCTTTATTCTTTTCTTTGCAATAAGGCTTTCAAATAGGTCATGGTTGTACGGCAGTGAAGCATCGGTGTTGAACACTGATGTCATGCTGTCGATGATGATGATGACTTTAAGGGTTCCCAGTGCTGAGCAGTAAGCCGCTCCGAGCGAGGACTCACACAAGAAAATATCCAGAAGTGCTTTGAACTGGATTGTAGGTGCAGTGCGAACGGCCGTCGTAGGGAGGCCGTCTCACGCACCAACTACTGGGAATGCGAGACGCGCCATATAATCAAAGTACTTGAGGCCAGCAACCATCTCTGTAGCAGCTCTCGTGGGACCCACTCTATGGGGGTCACTTCCTTCCCGCGTACGTTGGCGTATTCAAGAAGCGGCCAGCTGATGCTAATACCACAAACCCACAAAAAACTTCTCGTTGGTTCTTCGCTGACAAACTGCGCCCGTGAAATAAATACCTCATTTTCGAACGCACAGTTGAACATCGTCGCTGTGTCGCGCCTTAGGTATCACTGAATTGTGTCAACAACACTTGCAACACATGCATGTGGAAAACGCATAAGTCACCGGAGATTGTATTTCGAAAACCGTGACACTTAAAGCAAAGATGGAGTGCAACTGGATCAGACCCTTAAAAACGCTGTTGCAGTGGACACAAAACCAAGTAAGGTTGCATTTGTTGTTTAAATCCTACGAAGTCCTTCATGAACCCTTCATCCGTCGCAAAAATGAAAAATCGAAAAGTTGTGGTAATGCAGATGCGACGACAAACGCATTGGCTCACTGTCCGAAGAACATATGGAGGTACTTTTAATCATCCAAAGGAAGGTGCCAGTCCCGTGAGTACCGCTTCGTGGCGATCACCTAGGGGCTTGAGGTTAAAACTCGCCAATTTTAGGTGATCTGCAAAAAGTGGTGGTTGTTATACCAGCAACACCGAAAACCACTTACTTTTCCACTTAATGATGACTTTCTGAAAAGTGAATTTTTAGATTCCGCGCCTTTTCAGAGAGGACAATGCTTCGTTCCTATTGGCTGTTGCCTTTGTGAATCTTTTACGGGGGCCTTAGTATTCGCACAATGGAATTGAATTTTCGAAAGTTGTCATGTGCCCCTGATTGGCTAAGACATTAACAATCAAGTTCACAGTACCAGTTGAAACTTTTGAGCTCCATTTAGGCAACTCGGGGCCTCAGTAATGCTGGGAAATCAGCCCACCAGATTTTTCGCCAGAGGTGTGATTCCTCTACTGGACAAGGAAATGTGGTGATCTGTAAGAATGTGAACCTGGATCAGGTTTGAGCGCATATGCAACACAATACATTGTAGAGCAAAACGTTCTAGTCCGTTCTCAAATATTTTTCATCTATTAGCATTGTGCGGCTAATCTACCCCCTCTTGATTTAGGCAATAAAAGTTCCCCTTTGAAGTCTTTCACTAGATTTACGGATCCACAAATTGATACACAGGATCGAGGCTTTCGCCCAAGTTTCCCGGGTCGGTTTTATCCTTGTCGTTCAGCGGCCGTCGTTTGTCTGAAAGGCGCAATTATAAATGGGTGTAACACTGTTCTTCATGTTCTCAGTATGGGGCAGTATCCTTGCCAACGCGAGGGTTCGAATAAATATTTGTCTAGTAGTGCTTTGAACTGGGCTCCAGATGGAGTGCGGACAACCATCGGAGGACGGTCATTCCACGGATCTACTACCCGAAATGAGAAAAAATTTTCCTGATGAATTAGGTTGCTCTGAGCTGGAAAATCTTCACACCATATCCCCGCCGTGCGTTTGCTGGTTCAACGGTAGAAAACCTGTTTGCAAGCTTTGTTCAAACAGGGCATAAGTAAGAATTAGGTCCCTTCGGAGGCGATCATACCATATGGGATAGAGGCTATGCACCGCGAGACGCGCCTCGTGGTCCACGTACTTAAGGCCGGCAGTCATCTTCGTAGCGGCCTGCTGGACACGCTGAATGAGGGTGACGTCTTTCGTGCGTCCTGAGTAGACAACTTGGTTGACATATTCAAGAAGCGGTCTGACGTAAGCCCAATATAGTATGTGGAAGTTCATGCGAGTAATACAGGGGAAGATGCGCCGAATCATCCGTAAAATGGCGAATGCGTCTTGGGCCGATTTCCCACGGTGTAGTGTGAAGAAAAGTTTTAGGAGACCCAGATACCCATATCCTTTTTGGCATCCATCTCACGATGTCTCCTCAAACTTGTACTTTTCAAGAAACCAAAAAATTTTAGGCGAGACTATGGAGTCTTCGGGATTGCTATAATCTGTCTGTACGTTCCCGTGATGTGTTGTTTAGAGCATCTCTTTTAGGTGAGCGAAATCTCAAGACCATCACTGTATAACTGGTTCATGGGATAAAGCGTGATAACAATGTTCTACATTTTGTAGCATTCTGGAGTGTTCTTATCGAATGAAATAACATCCGCGGACTACCCCCGATGAAAACAGTGGATTAACTTTTGAATACGTAGAACCTATCAAACGTAACAAATTGGATGAATTTGTTCAGCCAAATTCCGCACACTAGTTTTCCGGCGGGCTCTCCCCCAGTTCAGTACAATGATTAAAGAGAAGCTGATGCAATATGCAGTGGTGGTGATGGTACGCACCTCTGTGTTTGATCTCCATTCTCTGAGTGCGCAGCGTTTTGAGATGACTACACGTTATTAAGAACATAACAGTACCTCTCGCTCAGGAGTGCGTCAGCCAGCCCAGTTTTATTGGCGGAAAATTAGGCTAAACAACGCTGGTCCTCATGCACGTACTATCGTCTACCTTAGCTACTAGAGTTAAACTAATGTTAAACGCTGATAATGACGCACCAGTTAGTAACATAATCCACTGGCCAACGACGGCTATTATACTCAACTGTAAGCGGTGCCGAACTCCTTGTTTACTCATAACATCTGCTGGGCCCGTATCCATCCCCGAAGCTAATTATCAGGAACGAGCTGTATATGATAGCCCAATCCAACGACCAAATACTGTCCTTGTCAATGTGGTTTTTCATGCCGCTCTTTTGCTTCCTCTAGAAATTAGGTATTTCTTCAATTACATGAACGTTGTTGTTTGAATGCGCACAACTCGAAAAAACGCGCATTTTGTACAAGTACATACAAAAGACAAAGGTGATCAAGTGCTTTGACTTTCTCTTCTGATTTTCCTTGCCCTTGCAGCAGTCATTCTCGAGTTTCATTTGCTAAATCTGGTACCAAAGCATGAGTTTTTAATGCTGTGGATGATGATACTAAAAGTAGGTTGATCCTACTTTCACTCAAAATACTGCGCTTAAAAGAAAACTCCCAATGTAGCACGGAATATCAAATCCATCAGGAATTAAGTTTGTGGAACAATGAAACGTAGAACATAACCAACTGCAAACAATGGCGTCTGGTATGAGTCGCTCGACATAAACTTCTCAAGTTCTTCATAAATGCTAGAACTTCAGTAACACAAGAACAGTTTGGGAAAAATCCGTGTTCCGCCAGGAACACCAAACCGTTTTTAGTGAGCTGGCTTTAAAATGATCCGTTTCAGAATGCACTCCCTCACTTTGCATGGTATACTAGTGAGGCTTCCGATCCTGCATCTCTCAGGGAATACCTGGCCATCTGGTTTGTAGTCTGGCTTAATAATCTCTTTTATCCAAGCAAAAGGAAGGTCGCCCACGTCGAAAGACATTAAAGACCTCATTTTCAGCAAACATCGAATACATTTGGGTTACTGTTGGAATGGCTGGTCACGCCTTGACTTGAGACGAATGCGTCAATTTCGTGGATAATCCGGACAGTAGTCCGGAAGTCTTCTTCATTGAATTTGGTCTAAGTTTCATCTGTTCAGGGAAGATATACAATCAGCGCAACTCTGCATAGCAGAAGTTTTAAATCCACATTTGTGTTTTCGGGTTCCTAACCCGATAGCAGATGAGTTGGAGGCTAGCATACAGCGGAAGTTATGTCCCAGGAAAGCCTCAATCATCCCTTGATCGAGTGTTTTAACAAGAATCAGTGATGTTGATGACCTACTGGGGGATGCGTGGTTGAGCTCATTTGGGGTGCTCTATTGAACGAATTTTATCAGTGTAGATGCAAAAATGTCCCCTAGACCCGACGGCCTTGAACTTTTTCAGAAAGACTTGGAAGCGTTTAAATAAACTGCTAGCATCAGATGGGTAGATATTTATTTGCCTAGTAAGCACATCACTGGCGGTTACGGTCGGTCAAATGTGGCAACCCAAAAAATGGAGTGCAGTTTTTGCCTCTTCCCAAAAACGTCCGAAGACCCACTGCAAGCGGACGAGACGAACGGTTGCAGTCTTACGTTGACGAAGGCGTATGCACAAGCTAACTGGCTGTACAATAGTACTCTGACTCACCACCTAACCCCACGGCATTTGGACACCTACCCAAATGTCGACTGCGTATTGCTTACTACAACATACCGCGTGGTCGGAGGATAACGAGATAAGTTCGAAAATGAAAATGTAATGATGATATGATGAAATAACTGATTTTTGCCAATCTGCCTTCAGACGGCCAACTCAGGTTGATGTTTTTGGTTTTCAGGAGTTCTATCAAGCGCTTCCTTGAACTAAGACCGAATTGTTTTCTCTGTATAATCCGATGACACGGTCGAGTGTGTGGCATCTAAGGTGGAAGAAAGGTTTCCTACTCTTCATTATCTCTGATAAATCTGTGTATCGGAGAAGTTTTTTATCTTCGTTTTTCGACCAGGTTGGTTGGTCTGCAAACTCAAGAGAGAAAACAGCATGACGTGTGTTGCTGAATAAGAGACAGGCCGAAGCAGCTGAGTCTTTCTGGCTGATAAACTAGCTCAATCTTTTGGTCTTCGCTGCAAGCCTTTTGAGATTCCGCTTGGTGGTTTTCTGCCACGGTCAACATTGGCTTGCGATTTGTCAAAACGACTCACGTATTGAGAGAGCTTGCATTAAAACAAGCGAGTTCAGAAACAATCACCACGACTAGTAGAAGGCGTGTATCGCAGAATGCTAGCACGAGACCTTAGGTTGCTGCATTCTGAATCCTGTCAAACGCAAATTCTAAGGACAACCCACCATCATGTCATTCATTTTTACGTCATCATTCGGGCAGACTTATTCGGCCAACGAAGTCAGGTATCTATTGCCACTAATTATTGTTACATTTAACTTTTGATTTGCGGCCACTAAGAGCGAGTATACGAAACAGCAATGAATTTGAAAATTTCTAACACTAAGCCGTCTGTCGAATCCAGTGTTTGCAAAATCGCTTTGACTTCTAATCACGCTTTCAACCGTCTGACCTACCGTTCGCATATCCATGTGCATCAACTGTAGAAGTCCATCAAGATTTTAAACAAGATGCTTTTGACAATTCTCACTGTAAACTCGGCGGCGACCTGATGAAAAACTGACAAATCCGACGGAGTATGCCAAAAGTTTGAAGGCAACTGAAGCTTATGTTGAATTCACTCTGCGAAAATTCTGTAGATAAGCCAGCCACAGATAACAACAAAACTTCACTGAGTTCTGCCCCTAATGACGCAACACTGAGGGATTTTTGGTGAATGCATGATCTAATTCCCTCTGACTTCCAAATTCAACGCGCTCTGCCTGATAAAGTGTGGAGGCCAGTTAACCTCACAATGGTCTTCAATTCAGTCAGGTATTCCGGTTCAGTTTTAGGGCTACTGGAGCTGGCACGCATAGACGACTGAGCTTTGATGGAGAGATAAATTTAAACAAAGTGCATATGAACCCAAATACCAAAAAAGTTGGGGTGTTCCTAAAAAGCTAATTCAATCGACCAAATGAGCAAAGAACGCATGGCTTAAAAAACGAAACTTTGGTTTTCAGCTCAACGAAGGCTTGCGGCTTAATCCTATTACACGAAACTAATTCTGGGCAACAAGGAGTGTCGTCATACAGACATTTGTATTTCTTCCCAACGTGCGAGCATTACTCTTTCCGACATTTGCAGAATTCTCATGGGCATATTAACACGTATGAAATCAGCATGGTTGCCCAAAATTATGCCCGGTAGCGCTGCGAAATTGACTTGGAACTTCGGTTTTACCCAACGAACAACCAGCCTTGTCCACAAAGCTGTTGATTTTCGGAGATTTTGGAAACCATTAGGTCAGCGCTGTCCTGTGAACAGATCTGTCAGTGCCCTGGGGGGCACCGCTTGCTGGCGATCTCATTTTCACTTCAAACTGCGTAGTCTCTCCGCTTTGGGGGTATTAGGATAGCTTACACACTTAAGGCCAGTGACTCTGTTTCTACTCTTGCTGACGTTCAGCCTTATCTGAATTCTTAATCCCTCTGGCCTCCAACACCTGCCTTCCTTTAGTGGTTCCAAACTACCGAGCATTCTCCCACCGACTTCAGATTTCTTCTGCTTATTCTTAGTGGATTTTCGATACATACTCTTCCCGAAGTGAAAGACCTAGGTATTCCAGTGAATTTAGTTTGCCTCAAAATGCATGGTACAGAGTGGCTGATGCCCGCAATCTCCGGGCTTTTGTTCGTCGATCTTCCCATAATAAGCCATTTTTAATTGCCATCTTTAAGCATTTTGCTGGACCCATTCTTAAATCTGACCCCAAATNGTTCAGGGAAGATATACAATCAGCGCAACTCTGCATAGCTGTGGAGACTGTACAGCACTCGTTTACCAGTTCCTTATTCCCAGCCCCATCCACACTGCGATATCGTCCATGCTGTCTGTCACTTGGACAGCATAATTTATGGCTGAGGCGAGTTGGGTTGAACCTAGGCCTTCTGCATCTCCTGATCTGCCGACAAGCTTACGTAACTGACATATACCCTAAATTTTATTCCTATCCTCTATCCAATATCCGAAACTCTGGATTTTTGTTCCTATGTTGACCTGTCAAGCTGTATCTAGACACAACTTTTTCGTTTGCCTGTATTCCATACTATGAAACAAGCTCCACCCCAAAGTCCGCACTATATCATCTCATGTAGGCTTTCGAAATACATTCTAATCTTACCTATCTAGTGAAGGAACCTATCGTCTTTTCGTGCCACAGCTTACGCTAGGCGCATACTTTCTAAGCCCTTCTAATCTGCTCTATCACCCAGACTGCATTATTATCCGGTCCTAGCATGTACGCTCTCCAGCTACAACAATCTAATAATAACGCACACCTGAGACATTTTGCTTCAGGGCTTTCCATAAACCGCTATCTTATCCATCTCCTATACGGGCGTATATCTTCCCGGAAGTACATCTGCACCTACACTCCGAAGAGTAGACGTTTCGGAAAGAGTGTCTGGCGCCTGCCATCATGATTGTTTTCATGCCCGACTCCATTAACATCATTGTATATCCTTACCTCCGGCCTTAAGCTTGTGTTTTCATACTACATCGTCAATCCCAGCTGGTTCTTTGCTTCCAGGTCAGCCAACTGAAACCCCCCCTTTGTTTAGCTTACTGTAAGTTTCTTCTATTGGACACCGTTTTATTTGATGCCTCCGGAAAATCGCCAAACGCTTTTCCTCTCATCCTATTCTTTTCTTATCCCTCCCTCTTCCCAACCTTCAAATTTCGGTTACCGTTGCTCAAAATAACACGTATAGCTGTCACTCAATGCGGCTGGACGTCGATCTGCACCCGCGTGGTTCTCCAACTGAAACAAAACCACCAGTGACTGCACCCGTTTCAACCTTCTTATCCTGCCCAGATCTGGCCGTCAAGGAGATGCGTATCTCCTGTCCGTTTACGGCGACCTTGGTCACCTTTACCTTGCCATCAGAGAACAGATGTGCCTGTGAAAGGATGGCATAGCAATGCCATACTCAGTCTGATGGCAATCCTGCAACTTTTTTCCAACTCGTAACCGACACGTGTAACTGCAACTACCATCCCTAGGACGAGTTTGACATCGAACGCAACAACAGA